CCTAAATTTAAAAAAAGAGGGGGGGGGGGGGGGAGGGGGGGGGGGGGGGGTGTTGGAGTGGAGAGTTCACCTACAACTGTTGCCTCGATAATGAGACAAGCCTGTTAACTCGTGGAATTTTAAAAGAAGTGCACAGATTAGAGGCAGAACGCCCCTCAATGCTTGCGGCGGCTGGGAGACGTTGACCTGCAAAAGAAGCGTTGGACAGACTATTAGTGCAATCACAAGTACAGATCACATCCAGAACTTCATACACACACCTTAAACAGCTGTTGGATCAACACTGAATGAGAAAAGGGGGAAATGACATCAATCTCTGTAGCACTTAGGAAGCACAGTCCAACCATTTGTGCACAATTCGGCTATTACACATTCAACATTATGTGACTGCGAATTTAAACTTAACACATTCATTTAAAATCAACTTCAGGATAATCTGGATTGCAACAGCTAGGATATTATACATACTATTGATCATTCACACACACACACACACACACACACAATTAAAAGAGTTCAATAAAAAAGTAGAAAGAAAATGGATACTACCTTGATCGTGACTTAGACTTGTGTTTGCGGCTTGCCTTCTTACCAGACTTGTGAGACCTTTCCGTTGACCTTGATCGACTACGTTTTGATTTCTTAGACTTTTTCTCTTTGCTAACCTCAGGGGAAGGGGACCTGCTCCTGCTGGACTCTGAATCAGAGTACTTCCGCCCTCTCTCTGCTTACACTGTCTGATGCCAAATCTTCTGAAAACACACAAAGAAAACAAATTACTGTACACACATTTTACAAGGTTGAATAAATGTTTGAATATATATTTATTTTAAAACAAATAACAAAAAACACATTAAAGCACTTAAGTAGTATAAATAAAATATTTTTTTAAATCAAAATTGTTATAAAAAAAATTATCATAGCCGTTGTAGCCTAAAAATTTGTGTAAAAATTGTTAAATCACAAAATATTCCTCCAAAGGTACTTTTTGTAATGTCTATATGATGCTTTTCTCATTTAACACAATGACTTTTAAATTTTAAATGATCTTTTGATTGTAATTTCTCAGCCAAATGTATGATTAATTGCCACAATATGTAATTAAACGTATACAAAATTGTTTTTATTTTTTATTAAAGTGTGTGTGTATACACGCACTATATGGTCAAAAGTATTGAGACACCACCTTCTAATGAACATCTGTAACTACTTTAGTAATTATTTCCACGAGTACAAATCTTAATGTTTAAGCATATAATGATATTCTAGGGAATTGTGTGCTTCTAATTTTATAGCAACAATTTGGACAGGACCCTTTTCTATTCTAAAATGATAATGCCTCTGTGTATAAGGCAAGGTTAAAAAAAAAGAAATGATTGATTTTTTTTTTGCTTATATATTATATATATATATACACACACATTTATTTTCTGATAAGAACAATTTCTGCTGATAAACTGACTATAACATTTTTTTTAAATATGCCATTAAAATGTTCACAATTTTCTCTAGATGCACCCACCTTTTACAGTCTGTACCTCCAGTGCCAGCCTCTCCTGCAGCTGCTGCTGCTCCCTCTCTTTGTGACGGAAGGCATCCTGTTTCTGGCGAATGCGGTGCAGCAGCTCCTCATCGTCTGTGTCTGACGAGTCTGACCCCTTTGCGCTTCGCTCCTCATCCTCACTCTCGTCCGAGCCGTACTCACCCAGCCCTCCTGCGGCAACAAAGCCCCTCTCTTATAATAGACAGCAAGAGCATGGCGATCATAGTCGCACGCTAACAGTCCCTCATTCTCACCCATTCGACTACATAATACTTCACTAAAGCCCACCTCAATAAAAGAAGCATGCTTTTTATAATCTGTGTTGCTGGAAGCTAACCATTGAGAAGATCTGCTGCTTGAGCTCTTGAGCTTGTACTAAAGTTCATTAGAGAGCCCCCCACCCCCATTTATTCCCCCAAACCCCCCCGTCGGACCAAAACGTAGACGCACTTACCGAGACCAGTCAGAGAAGCCAGTGCATTTGACTGTGCCAGCTGTTTTGCAGGAGCTTTGATTCACATCAACAACAGGAACAACATGTTAAAACACATACAGCCACCACTTTCGCATAGGCAAGAGTCTCTAGAGATGAGGGTACACATATGCACTATTCACAAGAGCTGCCTTTGGCAAAATAAAATAAAGATAAAAAAGATGGAGAGAAGAAAAAGGTTATCACACAAAGTCCGTCAACACACAAGCAAACAGTGGAGGAGAAAAGAACCAGTCTGTACTAATGCATTGTCACTTTCGTAATGAGAAGCTGTCTGGCAAACATAGGCGTGAGGAAGTACTTTTGTTTTACAGGAAGTAAATCTAGGAACAGATTTGACTGGGAACCCTTTGTATTTTGCATTTAACTGCATCTGTGTGACCATTTTCACCCTCCCTCTGCGGTTTTTGTCTTCTTTTGCATTAGCAGACAATGGCCAATAAAGACTAGCAATTTTGCTTATCATAAAGTATTACCATGATGCATGTCAGACCAAAAGGCTTCATATATTTATCAGTCAAAACATAACCAAGTCTAATTTCTGTGGAAATGTGTCTTTTCCTCAGAATTAAAACTTGAAGGCACAGTTGCATGGACAGAAGGGAACAGGTGCAGACCTTTAGTGGCTTTGCGATGAGTTTCTTTAGCCACCAGGAAGATTTCCTCATTTGTGACTTCAAGGAGGACTTCGGTAAGAAGAGTTTTAGTCATCAGCATCTGTGGGGAGCAAATAGGACCAGTTGAGAAACACAAGTCACAAGTGTGGAAGATATATGCTGAGACAGAAGTGTGTGTGTGAACACACCAACTGAAACTCTTTCTCCTCTTCTGTCATTTCTGGTTCACTTTGGTCTTCTTGAACAGGAGGAGAACTTCTTCCACCAAACTCCAACCTTCTCCCCGATACGCCATCCTCCCCAGCACCATCTTCTTCACCATCCTCATCATCACTGTCCTAAATTAAAGAGGAGTAGGTGATTGGACCAGAGACCATATGCTTGTGGATGACATAAACGCCGAGAGGAATTATTAGTGTTTAGTGTGCAACAGCTAACAAGCAAAGTAACTAAATTTAAAAGACTTCATGAAATCAGTTGGCGTTTTGTGGCTCAGTCAATGTCAGTTAGTCACCTACAAGTTGTCCAAAAAATATATATTTTAGCAGATATACACTACTGTTTAAAAGTTACTAATATATTGTTTTGGTGCTCAAACATATCATATTATCATCAATGTTGAAAACTATTGTGCCACTTAATATTTTTGTGCAAACTGATACTTTTTTTTTCCCTCAGGATTTTCTTTTTATCAATAAGAAGTTCAAAAGAACAGCATTTATTTGAAACTGATTTTTTTGTAACAATGTAAAAGTCTTTACTGTCACTTTTGATCAATTTAATGCAGCCCTTGCTGAATAAAGGCATTAAAACCATACTAACCTCAAACTTTTGAACAGTAGTGTACACATTTTAAAATGTTCCAATTAAAATACTTCAACACGAAAAAGAACCCTGCGCTCAGCAAGACATTTCATGGGGTCTTTGAATTTAAGATAATAACAATCATGTCAATGAGCATTTGTGCATGTCAGCGAACCCTGGGACAACAGTTGCCAAAGTAACCTCAGCAGATTCCTTTGCTGTAAACTGATTCTGAAAAAGATGCTTACAAATTTGCTCTTGCGTGGCAACCGAGGCCCATCACCTTCCTCCACTACCATATCGCTATCTCTTTCATTATTTGCCATTTCAGCACGCTCTCTCTCCATCCTCTCCTTCTCCAACTTTTTCTGCTTCTCACGATCCATCTTTTCAAGGCCTTCTCGAATCCACGCAGGCAAAGTCCTCCGTTTAACAGCATCTAGACCAGGAACCAAGACAATATCACAATGTGAGCCTTTTATAACAGCAGTTTTTCCTATGCATCTACATTAATCAATATTTATATTCACCAAGAGTAGGCGTCTCTGGTTTAATTCCTATCTGATTGGGGGATCTGGGCCGTTCAGGTCTGAAGCCAGGGAGCCGGTCTCTTCTGTTCTGTGGTCCTTCAGGCCAATAAGGTGCATGAAAGCCAGTGGAGGGTGGTCCGTATGCTGCCCCTGTTGGTACTGCTCCATGCTAACAGGAAACGGAAATAAATGTGACTAAAACTGGGAAGTTAGGAGACTGGGAATAACTTTTGATAATCCAGACCCAAGTAAATGTACCTGATAATCAAACTGATTGACGCCAACTGGGCCCATAGAGTAAGGCTCGGGCTGACCACCAAACCCATGACTGTTTTGATGAAAGCCTCCATGGTGTGGGTCTCCAGGAAACTCCAAACTATCTTGACTGTTACTGTCTTCCGACGGGTTGACGACATCCATCGGTCCTTGTCCAGGAGGAATCCATGCTTGTTCCGGAGGGGGAGGAGGAGGCTGGCCATGCATTCCCCACTCTATAAACAATCAGCAAATACAGTCCTAATTTACAAACTGTGTAAAACTCTGCAAGTAAACAATAAGTTCCACGGCAAACTGACAAATGCATCAGCCCTACTGACTTTGGCATGCATCAAATTTCAAAGATGTCATGTATCATAGAGAAAAAAAAAGCATTGTATGCAAAAGGCCCGTTGATTATTGATGCGTGAAAATGATAATCAAATGACAAAATTAAAGTTTTCACTTGGCTGAAAGCAAAAAAAAAACAAGTTTACTCAGGTACCTGTTCAGTTGTTCTCAGGTGATTAATTTATTTAATGCCATGTCAATGGCTATATTCAGGACAAAAACAACTGCATCGCTCAATTCGATCAATACCCTTTTAAAATAATGTTTACAATAATAAAATTTTGTCTTAAAGGGGTCATATAATGCAATTTCAAGTTTCCTTTCTCTTTGGAGTGTTACAAGCGGTTCGTGCATAGATACGATCCCTAAAGTTGCAAAGACTAAAGTCTCAAACCCAAAGAGATATTCTTTATCAAAGTTAAGACTCGTCCACGCCCCCCTAAAACGCCTCGTTTAAACACGCCCCTACATATCTACATCACTGTGTGGGAAGATTTGCATAACACCGCCCAAATGTTCACGCAAAGAAAGGCGGCATAACTTTGATTCTCGCTGTAGTATTGTTACCGCTGCCGCCATGTCGTGGAGATGCTGTGTGTTTCGTTGCGAAAGAGAAAATACTTTGTTTGGTCTTCCAAAAGAGGACAAAACGAGAAATCAGTGGTTAAGTTGTATTTACAACACTGTTCCAGAACACTTCTACCCAAATATTCAGATGTGTACAGTGCATTTTACGGAGGACTGTTTCCATGAACCTGGGAGAGTAGCCTACAATGCCGGTGTCCTGACATTTTATCCTACCCATCAGATTGTCCTACCAGGGTTTACTGCACATGCGCACATCAATATTGTCAAGTTTCCTTTCTCTTTGGAGTGTTACAAGCGGTTCGTGCATAGATACGATCCCTAAAGTTGCAAAGACTAAAGTCTCAAACCCAAAGAGATATTCTTTATCAAAGTTAAGACTCGTCCACGCCCCCCTAAAACGCCTCGTTTAAACACGCCCCTACATATCTACATCACTGTGTGGGAAGATTTTCATAACACCGCCCAAATGTTCACGCAAAGAAAGGCGGCATAACTTTGATTCTCACTGTAGTATTGTTACCGCTGCCGCCATGTCGTGGAGATGCTGTGTGTTTCGTTGCGAAAGAGAAAATACTTTGTTTGGTCTTCCAAAAGAGGACAAAACGAGAAATCAGTGGTTAAGTTGTATTTACAATACTGTTCCAGAACAGTTTAACCCAAATATTCAGATGTGTACAGTGCATTTTACGGAGGACTGTTTCCATGAACCTGGGAGAGTAGCCTACAATGCCGGTGTCCTGACATTTTATCCTACCCATCAGATTGTCCTACCAGGGTTTACTGCACATGCGCACATCAATATTGCGTCCTTTTTCTCACGCTGAACAACAATATTTAATGTATCTGCATGTTCTGAACCTACCCTTACAATAGGATAAATACATTGTTGGTAGCATAAACTGATAGGTAGCATTATTTGTCAGAACACCGGCTGTGCACAAAGGTTGTTTCTATAAAGTGGGGCAATTCCAACTTTGCAAGGACAGTCTAGCGCTTCATGACTCACAGCCTGTAAGTACGTTTTCATATTTAAAGAATTTTCCACTGACTATTCAAACGCGAGTTTTGAGCAGTGTAGAGTAGCACTTGTTGTTTGTCGTTTCTCCGATCACAAATGCAGACATGGTTTTATGTTTACGCGATAAGCAACACAACTCATATAAAGGCAGTATAAGTCATTATAATATGTAATTATGTCCCCACTGGATGCAACAAATGCCTTTTTTTGTCCCCATTCTTTATAATGGGTTTAATTGTTTTTTAGGGATGTAACAATTCACTCAACTCACGATTCGATTCACGATTTTGATTTCACGATTCGATTCACGATTATTATAATTTTTTTTTAACAAAATGAGATTTAAGACTAATTATAAATTAAATGTGTTCTTTTATTATTGCTTGGACAAAATGCTGCACATTTCTTTGTGAAATTGATATATAATACTATAATAATATACTAATATAGCACTTGCATATTACTGCTCTTTTGTTGGTTTTGATTGCTTCTATTGTACTCATTTGTAAGTCGCTTTGGATAAAAGCATCTGCTAAATTACAAAATGTAAATATAATGCAAATGTAAATAACAAAACTAAATTGAAATTTTAAAACAAGTCCCAAATCAAATAAATAAGTAACACAAAATAAATATCTTCATATAAACAAACTTAGGCTTTGTCTGTGCTCTTTCCTTTTAAAATTAGAGGCAACCACTGCATTTTAATCATGATCCAAACAAAGATGCTGCATACATGCAAAATGAGCAGTTTTTAAACTAAATTAGATTGTATAGTTTCGAAATTTGAAGCCAAAGCAGAATGGTTTGACTTCAGTTTTGTGAAACTATAAATAAAAATATCTGCATGAAACAGCAAAGCTGAATGAGACGCAGATTCACTCTCTGCCAGCAGGTGGTGCTTAACGCATTTCCTGGTTTCCGCTGTAAACAAAGCAGCGCTGAACTTATGAACTTTCATATGCATTATACAGAGGCAAGATGAAAAGAAAAAATACCATCTAAACTTTTCTAAAAACAGTAAGTTCCCCTCAGACATACATTCATATAAACTCCTACACCTAAATGAATCGCGATTTGTTTAGCATCTCAACCGATTTGAATCGTCACATATTTGAATCGATTTTCAACCGGCTCGCAGTTAATCGTTACATCCCCTATTGTTTTTGTCTCATCGCTCCGGCCGGGAGACGGCATCACAGTATGGTAAGGGGCGTAACATTTCCGTCCCACGCTTGAGGTATTCGGCCAATCACAACGCACTAGATAGCTGGCCAATAAGAGCACAACTCGCTTTTCAGACCGATGAGTTTTGTAAAAATCGATGTGTTTCAGAAAGGCGGGGCATAGAGGAGTAACAATAATGTACAGTATGTGGAAAATAATGTGTTTTTTGAACCTTAAACCGCATAAACATTTCATTACACCATATAATGTTATTTTTAGCAACGTCATATGACCCCTTTAAAAAAGTCAACATACACAAAATAAAAATATAAACTAAAATAACAGCAATAACAAAAATAATAGCAGTGGCTATTATATAGTCTTTGAACTTACTATATGACAAGAATTCTAAAATTATTTATTTTAATAATTGAAAATGTGTTCCTCAGGAGATGAATTAAACCAGTTGTAGTTAAGTTCTTTGGCAACAAACTGCCTCTCAATATTAGACGACTTTATTTAACATAACAGCCATTTATGCACAAATTAGATGCATTATATAAATCCCTGATATGTAGTTTATGCAGCTTGGCTCTAAGAAATAGAGACCAACTCACAGAGTAACGCAAGATAATCTGTCAAGTCCTGTCCCAATAAAGACGTAACTTTGCCTGAATTAAATAATATGCAGCCATGAATGAGCGCATGTTGGAAATAAAAGCGCTGAATTGAATTCTCTCGCTGTTGTCTATGCTCATCGTTAGTCTCGTGAAGTCGGGAGTCACATAGATAATCCGTCAAGATCCTCTCCCAATAAAGACGTAACTTCGCATGAGTTAAATAATACAGCCATGAATGAGCGCATGTTGGAAATAAAAGCTCTGATTTTAATTCTCTCTCTGTTGTATATTTGCTCATCATTAGTCTCGCGAAGCCGCTTTTATATTGCTGTTCACTCACCGGGTTGATGCGGTTGATGCTCAGGAAATGCTCCAGCACGGCCACCGCATGTAACTTTTAACAAGATTCACTTGTTTAAAACACCCTAAATTGTATTAACATGTACTATAAAACCATTATTTCGCTAACATCTAAATAAATACAACTCTATGGAAATTAATTATTTATTATCTCCGCGAGCGATCGCAGTTTGAGTATAGTTCTGTGTAACTGCATAGATAAACCGCGCTGTCAGCAAGAATTTCATAATCTAGAAGGACAAAAACGTTATTAATAATTCTGATATAACATTCCAGTTGAGAAATGCAATAAAATACGATGTTTTGTTTGTTATATTCCAATATTCCAGAGAATATTATTCAGTGAATTAACATTATCCAGTGAATTATTCTTGACTCTGTAGCTATTAAACAGCTTATAAACCTACTAAAACTGTAGTTTAAAATGAAGTTGATATGACTCCTTTCCTTTATTTATTTTCTCCATTTGAAAACATTAGACATTCTACATTTATTTTGCTTATTGTTAATATTAGTGTTGTTGCTGTTGATGCTTTTTATAAATAAAATGTTTTTTTGTTGTAATATAAAGATTAAATTTAACATGAAAGACTAATGCTAATTTTCAACACTTGAAAGTTGACTGAAAAGAGGAAAAACCAAAGTGAAGTATGTTCTTACTTCACTCAGTCGTTTATTTACTTTATAACAATAAATAAATATTGGTTCCGCATATCGGTTATCTGGCACATAAACATGCAAATAATTGGTATCGGTTATAAAATATCAATATCGGTCAATCACTACATCAAAGATGTTTGTTTCTTCATGAGAAGTGAGAAATTTAGCATTGCATCACTTGCTCACTGACGGATCCTCTGTAGTGAATGGGTGCCATTAGAATGTGTGTTCAAGCAGCTGATGAGAACGTAATAATCCACAAGTAATTCACTTGACTCCAGTCCATCAATCCATTTATTAACTGTTTGGACTCTTATTCTGATGGCACCCATTCACTGCAGAGGATCCATAGTAGAGCAAGTGATGTAATGCTAAATTTCTCCAAATCTGTTCTAATGATGAAACATCTAACAGACAAACTCTTGGTTGCCCATAGGGTGAGTAAATATTGAGCAAATTTTTATTTATGGGTGAACTATTCCTTTAATTATTCTGCAGACTTTTGAAAGGGGCTACTTCTGCTTTCTATTGACCGACTGGCAGATTATTTAAGATTTAAAGTCACAACTTAACAGGAGTAGCAACAGCTCATTTCTTCCGTATTACAAAGAAAGTGAGGGCTTGATTTTATCAAACAGTTGTTGACTGGATTGGAGAAATCCGGAATACAGCACCACTGAGAAGTCTACCATTACAGCAGAACACATAGGCCTAGCTTAATTATGATATGCCTTTAAAATGCTCACAGTCAAACTGAAAAATTGGCCTTACCTGGTTGCCAACCTCTGCCAAAATTATGATCACCGGGAAAGGCACCATGGTTATTATGGGCTGGAGGTTCCATGTTCTGTATTTCCTGGCCGTTGGGCTGAATACCCTGCTGGTCAGCAACCCCTCCAGTGGATTCTTTCTGTGCAATCCATGCTTGTGCTAGAGCAGCCCAGTCCACTTGACCTGCAAAAAAACACACAAAACTCAAACACTGCACCAAACCGAGCAGTTCAAACAATTGAACTATGTGATAACAGCCAGCTTCTTTGGCAATGAATGTTTGTGGCTTACTCTCCTTGTGAAGGGTGTCAATGATTGTCTTCTGGACAACTGTCAGATCAGCAGTCTTCCCCATGATTGTGTAGCCTAGTGAACCAAACTGAGACCATTTTGAAGGTTCAGGAAACCTTTGTAGGTGTTTTGCGTTGATTAGCTGATTGGCATGTCACCATATTCTAATTTGTTGAGATAGTGAATTGGTGGGTTTTTGTGAAATGTGAGCCAAAATCATCACAATTAAAAGAACCAAAGACTTAAACTACTTCAGTCTGTGTAATAATGTTTGAATTTATTTAATACACGAGTTCCACAATTTGAGTTGAATTACTGAAATAAATGAACTTTTCCATGACATTCTAATTTATTGAGATGCACCTGTATGTGCAAGCTCAATTAGATCAGAACAACGGCCAACCTGGATCTTGCTGATGCTGAAATGACTGCATCCACTGCTGCTGTGAGCCCAGGGGCCACTGAGGCCAGGGCTGTCCTCCCTGGTCCCACATCTCTAACCGTGTGATTCCTTCGCCAGAAGCATTATGAAATACACATGCAGATGTTTATGAAACAAACATTTTACTTGCACAGCATTAACAGTGACTGCAAATATAGCATGTAAGCATTTTGAATAGCAGTTCCCTTATAAGAACATGAGAAACAAGCCCTGCTTTTCATTGTCGATCACTACAGCTGTAATGTAACCCTGCACAGCTGCAGTTCCGGAGACACACAACAGAAATACTGTTCTCACTCAGACTACCGCAAAACCAGTCTAGGATAGTCCATGCATCCTTAAAATGCACGCGGAGTGTTTTATAACGGATTTCTGTGCTTCACTGAATATAATTATGACATGAATTAAATAGACATACGCGTCGTCGTAGAGCTAGCTATGCAAGCGTTAGGCCGCGCGTCTGCAATATCAACACTTATGAAAAACTTTATTCTTTCGGCTAAAACGCACAAATTTTACTAGTTCAGCGATCGCCGAAACTGATGCGAATAAGCGCAGGACTCTGAAGTAGTTGGCTGAAGGTTTACAGACACGTTGCGATCTCTTACCTCTCCGATTCTCACCAGTAAAATGGCGATGATGACCCGGAAACAATGCCAGCAACAGTACCCTCACAACACAGACCCTCTACTTGCGACGCACGTGAAGATGGTATTATAAACACTTTCTATACACACTTTTTTATTGTTTATTATTAATTAATTAAATAAATATAATCATTTAAAATAATCTCAAAATCAGATTTCACTGTATGAACTTAAAAATCTGAAAGAATAACCAAAATTATTAGGCTAATAAATACCTTTAAAAAAAACATTGTAAAAATTGTATGCATATTTGTGTTACATATCCAAAATCTGCATATTAAGTCTAACCTTTTTACAGCAAGGTCCCCATTGATATTTACGGTATTTCTGTAATGACAAAGCTGTTTGTTTTCAAACTTTTGCATCTAGAGAAATTAGAAGTGACAATGTATTAGGCCTAATATAAAAAACTGAATTTTATAACTCCAGAAGTTTCAATAACTGAACTTATTACGAATTGAAATGGCTTTTCGTGTTCATGATTATGGATTTGTTTTATTCTTTCCCCACTCACGGATGGCAATATTTCAGCAATTTACAACCAATAAAATGTTTTTGAGCTTAACATAACTAGAAAAAACATCTATTATAAAAATTACCACGACTTATAAAATAAAAAATTGACAAGTTGTTGGGGGAACACATTAAAATAAAAAATACTATGTCAGCTTACAGCTTGATTTCTATTGTTTTGTTTTTTCAATAATTTCCAGTGGGTCCCAGCCAGCCCCTAGCTGACAACCACTGTTCTGAGTCTTTTTTTTTTAATGACTGATAAAGAATATTAGCTTTAAAATTATTTTAAGTATTAAGTATAAAATATGTTTATATAGATTGTAAGAGATAAATTTTTTAGGCCTTATATTAATTTAGAAACTATATGAAAGTGTCTTACCACTAGACCGTTTAAATGAACATGAACATCTTCAATTTACCAGTTCCCATGTCAATAAATACACTAGACATATATTGTTATAAGAATGTAACGTAACAATCTTTTCTTTTAGGTTCTTCGGTTGCTTTTTTTGAATTCTTTGAATTTAGTTTCAAAGACAAGAGTGGTGTAGTATTTACTGTCACACCACATTGTATTTGTTTCAGTGAGCAATTCAATACCACACTACGACTGAAGCTTGTGTGGAATGAAGGAATTTTGAAGACAAACCTTCAACAAACCAAGAATTGAAAAGCACAAAAGAGTTGAATACACTAGGTATTTCAGATAACCTCTCTGGCATCTTTAACACATCATAGCAGAGAAATGCATACAGTAGGGCTGGTTCAAAACCAAGAAATTAAATGGCCATTACAAGTAGAGCTTTGATATCCTATCCATCATACCGATTCATATCATACACTTTTAGTGGTGTCCTCCCTTGCCACCCCAAACAGACAGAATTGCATTTGAAAGAGTGACAGAAGAGGTTACATGCTGTAGAGTAATGCTGGGTCAAAAAAGATAACGAGCATCATCTCTAACCACTTGTTATGTCTGCCCTGAAGGTATGAAGAAAAGCAAAAACCCTTTTCCACCCGGACATGTCTGAATGTCTCCCTTCACATTCAACGGGTTCTTCTGAAAGCAAAATCAGCTCCACCCGTCCCTCATATCAGGTTTCTCTGTCACTTCAGACCGAGGGGAACACATCCAATCATTAACTCACATTAAATCACTCGCACAACCTCCCTGAAAGAGAGCTCTGCTTTAAAAATAGACATGCTTTGCAAAGATTGCACTCTTGTTGGTGTTTTTACACACTGTTGTAACTGATAACCATCTTGATTCGAATGTCACAGAATGAGGAGAGGAGGAAGGCAGGAGGACACGATCGTTTCGGACATTGCCCTTTTCTGATTCCACACCCACCTCCTCTTCACCAGTCAGCGACATGGTCTAAAACAGCATGCCTTTGCACCCGTCACGCCGAATCTCAGCCGAGGACAGAGTGAAAATGGCATCCTGGGATTTGTGGCGACAACATCTCCAGAAAGAGAAAGAGAGACAAGGCACCCAGAGACCCCAGATATAACGAGATGAAATCATTTCAACCCACTCAAAGGTTTTCTTCAACTACATGTATTTAAATTATCATTTTAAATGATTTTGTACTGGATTATGTTCACAAAAATTCAAGCAATAGAACAGCTTGAGGAACCCTGAAGCCATAAACACCACACAAATCTATGGTGTTACAATATCTGCCTGGTAAACAGAATAAATAGTATTGAACAAGATACATATTTTACATACAATTATGTATATTTCTAATCAGTATATACACAAACAGTTCTCTTTATACTCTTGTATGAATCAAATACTTTGCTAAAGACATGCAAAACAATCTAAGCCCTCATAAACCGTAGGCACTGATGTAGTTTTAAAAATCAAAAAGGGGAAATAAGAAATTGTTTTCTACTCGTATTCATTTCTGAAAAATTAGGCATGAGGCAAAGTCCAGGAATATTGCACCAACTCCTTAACCATTAGATACTGAGAAATGTTCTCGAGTTACAAATTCATAAAACTTTACAGGAGGGCCCACTTCTATGATTTGAATTAAACTACATTCAAAAACATTAGTACTGATCAAGCAAACCAAAGTTAAACGTTAACACAAAAATAAATGACAGTCAGCAAATTACAATTTATTATACTGTTGTCAAGCAACCTTGTGAATATGAAATTGTCTCCAAGTAAATGATGATATGTTGTTTGCGTGTGTCTATGTGTGTGTGTGACTAGTTTGTGTGATCCAGTGCAGGATATGACGGGTTTAAACGGCTCTGAAAGCAACAGCTGCATATTGTGCTGAGTTTCCCTTTCACAACAGAGGTTATAGACTCTTTTGGCACAATCCTCCCTCTCATAATATATATTCTATACATATTTATCTTAAATTACTCTTTGGCAATTTCTCCTGCAAAATTTACCCCCCCCCCCCCAAAAAAAAATCTAAATTTTTGGCTCAAATATTC